ATTGGCTGCTTTCTTAGAACCCAGAAGTATAGCCGTAGCCAGAGGTTGTCATCCCAGCCAAGTCAAGTGTGCGACAGATTAGGAATTTTGCCAGTGCTCACCGGCACCGCCCATCTGTTTTGTAGCTTGGCAAGACACTCAGAAGATCAGAGTTTTGTCCTTTCTTGGTTGTCGTCATCCTGTCATCATACTGTTTGTGTTTAATACACAGAGCAGACAGGGAGTGGCTGAAGTTTATTTGCAGTGAGAGATTTTCCAGATCAGATAAAGTCCTAGAGCTTCCAGCGAGCTTGAGGAAGAAGATTAGTTCCATCTTGCAGGAGAGAAACGAGGGGAGGAGGGGCAGAGTGAGAGCTTGTGCAAAGTTTGCACACCAAATTACACGCAAATCACTTTTGTGGAAACTAAGGAGAAACTGAGTCAAGCTTTCTCAGATAAAAGTGACAGCCGTATGTGTTTTGACCCAGTCAAGTGTTCATGTTGGGAACTGTTTGAAAACACACTCACTCTTAGTGCAAAGGGCTCTGCTGCATACATGCACAAACCTACACACAAACAAACACATCTGTTCACCCATTCTGGTGCTCATGCCATGGTGTTTGAACCTTACCCTTTTCCTTTTCTCTCTCTCTTTTGGAGAGAGCCTTGGTACTGAGTGTGATTTTACTGAAATGTCTCCCCAATGTTTTGAGTTTCCATTGTATTGACGCTGTTTTTTTTACTCTTCTTTCTTTTTTTACTCTTGTTTTTTAGGTAAGGTTTGTAGGACCTCCCCCACTGTATGTTTGTGTGTATGTTTGAATAAGTGTGTGTGTGTGAATGTTTTTCTTGAAATAATACGTAATAACTCTCCCCCTTTTACAGTGTAGCCTAACGGCTTCTCTTAGTTCTTCTCTCTACGCTTATAATCACTAAACGCTCTGCTTAAAATACCAGCGCTACGATTTGAATCTCATACCAAAATGGAATCAGTAAAGTATTTTGTAGAAATGAATAGTCCATTTTTTTTCCTCTTGATTGTGTTCAGAATTCACCCATGTTAGAATAGTTCTTGTAAATATTAGTTTAATGTATGTTTGGCTGCAATGGGGGTGTTTTGATTGGCTGAGAACATGAGATGGGGCCCTCTGATTGGCTGTGAATATGATTCTGCCTCTTTCCCATGATTCCCCTGAATGGCTTGCCAGAATGAGCCTCGATCTCCTGCCCATTCTCTCCCTTTTTCCGCCTTCAGTCGGTCTATTTGCCTGCGTCCACTTTTGTGAAGTGAATGTACACCTGTGGTACATGTGGGAGTGGAAATTGTATGTGCTGAGTGAGTGTGTGTGTGTGTCACCAAAACAAGGGGTGGGGGCTCAGGTGGTTTAGCTTGCAGGGAGAAGTCTTCACACCATCCCACCTGCATCCCACTTCTCCTCTTATAAATGTACTTTCTTGTGAAAGCCTCACCTGACCTGACCCATCTCCTTCCCCCTCTCCTGCAGAGCATGCTGGCTGTAGAGACCCAGTCTTGTGAAACTGAGGTTTAAACAACGCATCATACCACAAAACAGATTGGAATTGATTCTAGATAAATGGCGAGATGAAAACGGCTGTGAAACCGATCTAGTCCTCTAAAGAACGATGCGCTGCTAAAAGCTCACTCACAGCGTATGCTTCTCATAGCTCATACAGTTGCGTGATGACATATGCATACGACGGCCTCTATGGCTCAAGCACATTCATGGGGAGACTTGGACCTGCATGGGGGATTGGAGGGAGTGGGGAGGAGGGTGCTATTTTTTTAGACTGAGTAATGGTTGATACATTTCTGTTGAAGGACAATCAACAAAGAAAGGGAAAATGAGAGAGCGGACAGCTTTAGAACCTGTTTTCACCAAAAGGAGACTTTTAGAAACAAAATCTCCCTTCAGGCTTTAATGTAACTGTGTCCTCCTTATTTTGTTGTGGAGGATCCCGGAAGCCTGAAATTATAGTACCAGAAATCAGCAGTAATGAGGAGGAGAGAATGAGTGTCAGGGATGGTGAGAGGATATCCCTGTAATCACCCAGGCCCATTGGTAGGGGGTACACCAAAGCCCCTGCCCCCAAACCCGACCCCTAACCCTTTACCCCTTACCCCTGAACGCTCTCTTTGTGCCTCAATCTTCCTGCTTAACCAATTGGTGTTTCTTTTTTGCAGCATTATGATCCTGGCCATGTTGTGCTGATGGTAAACTTAGTGGTAAATGTTATTTTTACCCCGATTGAATTTTTATTTTGATTTGATTTATGCTTTCATTTGTTTTGTTTTGTTTGATTTTACTTCCCCCATTTCTTGTTTTGATATGACTCTCATCATCAGAGCACCAGTGTTTAATAGGCTTAAACTGTCTCTACCTCTCTTTGTATTAGTCTTCATTCTGCTGCCCGTCTCTTATTGTTCAATATGCACTCTTGTAGAACACTCTCATTCTGTTTGTTTT